ATCACCCTTTTATGCTTTATCTTATATACTTGTGGAAGGATTGTAATATTGGTAAATATTTGCTTTGCCTTTGCAGTATAAACAACATACACAAACTACATGGCTTGTGACCTGTGGGGCCCACCATACAATCAAGGTGCCTCATAAGTGTTTTTATATCATAATTTGTGAAGTGTATTACTCTGGTCATGGAGTTTAGTATTGATTCAATCAATTTCTTTCAGTTGCAGAAGAGAGTAGTTGTATGCAACCTGGATGGCAATATGACTTTCACTTTGGTTATGGGTTTGGTATAATATATAATTTTGTCCCTTCTCCCCTTCCTCCTTCAATAACTTTGATTGGCATGGTTCCTTATTTTTTACTATCTTACTCTCATATTTAAAAAGGATTTTTTTTTTTTCCTTTGTAAATATGCAGATGTGATTGAAGAAAATGCTTTGAATGAAAAATTTTGCCTGCAAGTCTTACAGATATTGATATCAAAAGCAGATGCTGAAATTGATGAACTTGAAAACTATCTGGTATCCCTGCAAAGTGAACTGGCCTGGGCTGAATATGATGACTGGTCTGAAATATGTTGCAATGGTTTGAGAAAAAGGATTGATTGCCTTGATGTTTCGATAAAGGCTTTGAGGAACAGGGATGAGAATGATGTTGAGGTTCATTTACTGATGCATACACAACCTGCTGAGAGGGCTCATGATATAGTGAGAACTCTGTTCAAAAGTTACCGCCACGGGAAAGATAAGCAGGTTTGGCTATTATCTAATGTTGTAATAGAGGGTTGAGGTGTTGTTAAGGATTTTACTTGTTTGGAGTGCTTCCATGGATTAATCCAAGACCATTCCTCCCCTTTGTTATCACTTGTTAGCACATTGATTTTGTCTACATTCTTTCTTTATTTCCTTCTAACACCTGCTCCATTGCATTTCCTTTTGAACTGACAAATTACCTCTGTTTCTTTCTTTCTAGAATGATCAGCCTCTGGATGATATTGTCTTAGATTCAGGATCTGATTCGCTTGGACATGTGGCTGACTATTTGCTTGAGAGCCAAAAACCAAGTGTCTCTGATTTCAATGTTGCTGCAGAGGAAACACAAGGTCCCTGTATTATTCACGCAGAAAACTGTGCTTCCATAAATAAATCTAGTCAGCTTGTAGAGAAGAAATCAAATAACTCAGAAATAGAGAAGGTACTATACAGATCTTTATCTCTGCATGCTTTAACCTGCCTTATGATCAATCTTCTTCTTAAGTTATTTTTGGGTGTAACAATGATTTTCTTTAATTTATTAATCATTCTCCATTTACCAAGCACACAAGTGGGGAAGAAGGGATTCAAAAAGGCAAAAGTAGATGAACACACGAATCTGAAGCATTCAAATCGTAATTAGAATTACAATGGAGTGCTTAATTTTCTTTTAGTTAGTTATGTTTAACAGGTATATCTCGATAGAAACATAGATGATTTACTGCCTTTTTTTGACATGTGACTATCACTAGCAGCTAGACAATATTGATGCCAAAGACCAAATAAAATATTATCTGGCACAGGCAGCAGAACATACCGATGAGAACAAAGCTGCAAACAACCATGTTTTGGAAAGTAGTGAGAAACAAGGAGCCAGAGAAGAGGATTATTCTCCTGAAGACAAAATGGTCATCCAAAATTCACCTTCTAAGTCTGCAGGGAAGAGAATGCTTAACCTAGAAATAGTTAAGGTTGAGGTAATCCTCTTTTGCTCTTGTTTGATATATTCCATTTCAAAATCATTCAACAAGATGCATTGTAGAGTTTGAAATTCCAGGAACCATCTGTTTCTGAGTTTAATTTGTGATGGAGATAGACATGCTGCCCAGCATCCCTGTGTTCATCTTTTTAATTCTTCCATCCTGATGATTAAAGGAGAATTAATATGTATTTGAACCTTTTGAAAATGGCTTTTATGTTATCTTTGTAATCATTTGCTTGCATTGCTATACAAGAGCATGCAGAAATCAGTTCAAGGAAAATTATTTGCGTAATGTATTTAGATGATAGTCTAGACATAAATGAAAATGTAGGAAGCTGAAAATTACTGGCTTCCTCATTAGAAGTTGCAAACAACTGCTTGAAGTTTCATCCTTTATTAATTTTGCAGTGATTATTCATCAATATTTGTAGTCTACCATGTAGTCTTCTGGACCTCTAATGTATTCTTGCCTTTGACATGAACAGTCTCCAGAGATCACCATGAATGCTTCAAACATGGATGCTCAGGAACATGCAATTGGTGGCTACCTGAACAAGAAGAAGAAATTGAATTCTTCTGGTTTGAAAATTACATGTGAAGAAGTTACAGAAAGAAGTTCGTTATCTACAGAAGATGTTATAATTTTAGATTCATTATCAATATCTGTGGAAGAGAGGGTAGATTGCAGTAAGAAGGTCAAGGTACTAAAAGTCCTCTCCTCTATTTTGTGTCAGTGTTTAAATGTGCTTCAGCCCATGGTAAAATTAATATATTGTAATAATTTCTGAGATCAGGGAAATGACTAGTGACTACCTTCGCTTGTTGTGTGGGTGCTGTTGCAATTAGGTCATAACTTACTCTTGGTGGTTCTATTCTGTTTATAATGTACAGCCTGCAAATAGTATATCCAAAGGTCCAGTCTCAAGTGCCTGTAAACAAACAGCTGGCCTCTCCAAGGAGATGAAACAGCTATGCAAGTCTGGTGGGAAAGCTGACGGACATGATGTCCAAGAACACAATGTAACTGCTAATTGCAAAAATGGTACATCAGATGCATCTTCTATCCCTGGATGCAACGGAAGTGACTCCAAATCAGATAAGGTACAAAAAGCTCTTTTCCTTCATGGAGGACTTTTAATGTTTATGTAACCAACACAATCTAGGAAAAGGAAAACCTATGCTTTCAACAAACAGTTGTATTTTTGAGACTTATTTCATTGCAATTGCGAGGTACATGTTTTTAGTCTAACTTAACGTTGCATCTTTAATTAGCTTATAATGTGATTTTGTCCAAGCAGCCCACAAGTGCCATGGTTAAGAATGTTAGTCCTGATACTTTGAGCTGCACAACTGGCTTCAACAGGAGCAGAGATGATTCTGATTCCTGGTTAGGTGCTCTTGGACAGGAGAAAAGTCAAAAATGTGATATGGATCAAAAACCGTGTGATATTGCTTTGAAGGCCTCACATAAACGAAGCATGAAGGAAGCAAAGGTTTCTTCAACTAATAAGATGGAGTCTTCTAGTTCATTATCAGAGGGACAGGAGAAGAGGAGAGATCATTCACAAGTTGTGAAAGTCAAAAAAGCTGCCCTAAACAACAGCGAACATTCTGCCTTAACTTTGCTCGTAGATCTGCAGGCTGAGAAAGAAAAAATAAAAACCAGCCTGCAGTTGAAAGGTGGAGAAATGCATCTTGATGAGATTCAAATGGCTGCAAGTGATGAGAACTTTGGTATGAACTTGTCCATGGTGCCTCAAGGAAAGAAGGCAGAAATGAGTGTCAAGTCAAATCCAACAAACAATCAAGAATTCAATCCAATCTCTAAGGAAGCTGTTTCAAATTCATCTTTGAGTCCAAATGCTAGGAAGCAGCAGAAGACTCTTAACAGTGCTAGTTTAAATTGTTCTCTGAATGGGAGGTTCCAAAACAAAATATCTCCACTTACCCTGCTGGAAGCTGATGAGAAAGGTGCAAAACCGGATGATCACCAGAGTTCTGTATCACCATCACAGAAGAAAAGTAGAAGGGCTTCAAGTCTACCAATGGTTGTGGAGTTAAGAAGTTCAGCTTTTCAAATCGAATTCTCAAAATTGCATGGGGACACAATTGATTGTACAGGTAAAAAAGAATGTTCAGTTTCAGAGTCCTATTCTGCTGATGATTGCTGCATTGGGTTATCATTGGCCTCTGTCATAAGTAACTTGAAGGACATGAAATTATCTGATCTGAGGGCCATTGCAAAGGAACATAAGCTGACAAAATACCATAAGCTTCGAAAAGAAGATCTGGTAGAAAAAATAGTAAACCGACTCGGTTGCTAATAGGAATGGCTTGTGTATTGATTGGTTTTCCATTCAATTCGTTCCGGTATGTGGCTCAATGGATATCTCTCTTCGGCATTCCGATATGTCTTAATCTTTTGAATTGCTCCACTGTTCTTCATCACTTCACAAATCCCAGAAAGCAGACTAACATAGTGTTATGTATTTTGTATTATGGCTGCTACAATGAACAGGCAAGAATTGAATGATTCAACTAGAACAAGAGATCAAATGAGTCTTTAGAATCTCTGTACATGATTAGCTGCTTAAAACATGCCATTTAGGCATTTACCATTGTCCTTAACTGTAGATGTAATTTATCTATGGCAGTCTGGAGTTTTAATTGTCAAGCAAATAATAACATGGTTGGCAATAGGCAGTTTAATGTTTGCATTTGAGATTTGATTTCACACACCAAGCATTTCCCCATCCATGCAATATTAAAAATGTTAACTAGTGATAATTGGATTGATTTTAATTAATATATTATGTATATTTTAATAATTATAAACTGATGTACATTGCTTTTAAAAATTAACAGTGAAACACTAATATAGCTTTTGGAGAAAAACAGCCACAACATTACTCAGCAATTTCAAAATTAAGATCAAGCATATGTAGGAATTCTATTGTTACAGAGGATAGTCTTTTCCCAGACAAAATCTCAATCAATGGCATTTTCCTCAAATAATATAGTGTGGATTATGAACCATTACAAGTTGGAATGTCAAAAACTCAGATTTTTAACTTCTCCAATTCCTTTGTGGTCTCCACAGTAGCTTTCAGATCACAACCTGTGGAAATCAAAGAAGCGCACGCAGCAGGATTAATTTGTAACCATGAGGCAAAAAGTAAGACCATTTATACTCAAACTCTCTCCCAAGATCAAAGAGGATCACTTGAAATGAAAGATCCTAGGATTAAGGTCAATAACAACAGAAGGTTGTTGTAATGTTACAAACTCTCAAAACTGTTTTGCTCTTCCAAGCCCTAATCCTGGCCAAAATGAGGGTAATATTAAGTTGTTAAACATAATCATACCTTTCATAGAATCCAATTTCTGGTCAGCCTCTCTAACTGCCCGGACAAGATGGACCTCTCGATATTTGAGCTTTTCAATCTCAGCAACAAGTTTCTTTTCCTGCAAGCCATAAGTGAAGCTGTTACTAAGTCCTTCCATTTTGTTTCACATGATACAATGCGAAGATGAACTACCTTTTCTCGAAATGAAAGTATCTCTGTATTTGCATCTTCTAGCTTTCCTTGAAGTTCACAAATTGTTTTCAAGAGCTCTTCTTTTTCAGCATCTGCATTTCCAGCACCTTGATAATAATATAATTATCAGTTTCTTTAGACCTTCCCATCAAAAAAATATCTTTAGACCTTATTTTAGATAAACGGAAAAAATAGACAACTTGACTACCTCAAGCCCTACCTTTCTTACTTTCAAGAGCAGCTTCTAGCCTGGATAAACGTTCCTGTAGTTCAGAAATACAATATAGTTAAGAAGAACAGTATGCAATATGGATATTCATTAATAAGTGATATGATCATCCAATATCAATGTAAATTACATAGTAAAATAAAATGTCCATAGCCTTTTTGACATGGGACAAATCCCAAGAAGGAACTAACATCCTTCTTGGGAAATGTCTAAGGGGTGAAAACCCACTATCCTGGGGGGATATCATCACCAAGAGAACTAAAAATCATAACTCTTTCACATCCTTCTAGAAAAAGAAAAAAACTCACTACAATCCTCTTTCTCCTTTTTTGCAAACAAGAGCTACGAGTCTGCCAGAGCAATTGAAAAGATAGCAATACAAGAAACAGACATAAACAAACAGTCTCTTGAAGCAGTTTATCTTATTTGACAAGGCTACAAGCAGAGTCACCAGTTTGTAACCTGTTTGCAAGTTTATATTCTTGGACCATTTGATCAGTTAGCAAATGGGATACCATTGAATAAATAGCAAATCAGTAATACGCCTTTTAAAAAAGGAACTAACATCTGATTTTCATCTCTTAGAGGTGAAACCTTCCAAAATATATTACTTGAAAAATACATATCCAATGTGTACGTTACTAATTCATATAAAACTACAAGTTGATTTTTGCAAATCTCTCAATCTAACAAGAACAGAAATCCAGGACAGGTCTCATAGATTCATACACTCTCACAGTTACAATATATATCCAACTTGTGAGAATTAAATTAGGTTCATAACAAATGCATGTGCTACTCAAGAGATGATTTCAAAACTTCAAAACCAATTTATTACAATCACCATTATTTTCAATTCGTACAAACTAAAAAGGTTAGTGACACAAATTCCACCCAAATAGAACATAACTCTTTTACAACAAATTTCTACACTAACAGGAAAAACAGTTACAGAATCACCACAACCACCTGTATCAAAACCTGGATTCTGACCCCAAATCTAACCAGGAGAGGCTTTGAAAATTCCAATACTTATAAAAAGGAAACCAATACTAATATCAAGTTGCCTTCACATAATCAATTCATGACCGTTCCAGTAATAAATTTCACCAAAAACAATCAGAAACACAAATTCCACAGAAATATAGATAGGGAAAACTGGAGTGCTGTAGATAAAGTAAAACCTCGGCTTCTGCAGCTCTCTGGTAAAAGGGTTTTAGGGTTTCTTGAAAGTCGCTTCCTTTCGCCATTTCTTTGCTGCTTCCTGTTCCCTCCTTTGTATGTGCTAATTTGGTTTTCTTAAACCCTAGGGACGGAGACAATCACAAACGTCGTTAGAAATGAAAACGGATTTAACGGCTTGGTCAAGGCAGCTGCTTTTACGATTTTACTGAAATGCCCTCATTTTTTTCTCTACTTTTATTTTAAAGATGCCTTTTTTGTTATTTAAAAGTATTTAAATATAAAAGTATTTAAACACTATTTTTTTTTATTAAGGGTATATGAATACCTTTAATTTTTCAACCATTACATTTTGTCTTATGTTAGGCTATGCACTCCAAGAGAGGGATGAATTAAAGTTCAAAAATTTTCTTTTTTTTACAACCACAAAGTAAAAATTAAAGAAAGTAAGGAAGAAGTGCTTACATAATAATTTTATAGAGGTTCGGTCTAACTACTTGAAGTCAAATCACCTACCTTGGTTTCATTGACCAATGATTTTCTTTACACTCTCCATTAAGAAAAATAAGGATAGTTTAGAGAAATCACTCAATCCTTTTATAAGAATATAAGTTTTTCTCTCATATCTCACCATTTTATCAGATAAACCCTTACACTCTCCATTAAGAAAAATAAGGATAGTTTAGAGAAACAACTCAATTCTTTTATAAGAATATGAGTTTTTCTCTCAAATCACACTTTTTTACAAGATAAACCCAAGAATCCTCACTATAAATTACTCTTGAACAAATTATCACACCCTCAAGATAACTCTCAAATAAAACAATTAAAGGATTACAAGCAAAAATACTAAAAGATCAAAATCTCAAGTTAAAGCATCAGTTGGCAAGTAAGGACATACAATATAAATGTCTAAAACTTATTTCAAATCTTCTACTAACCATATTTGTACCTTATTGGTTGAAAATAGTCGTTTTTAACCGTTGGGGTTCATTAAATGCTCTATAGATCAATTTTAGTTCACTACAGATTTGTTAGTAAAGCCAGCTTTCATGTCTAGAGTCAGTTTTCTTGCTCCTCCTACACATTCTATTTTTTTGAAGAGTCAATTGCAAAACACAAAACCAACTTAAGAAATCTAATTTCAAAAGATTAAAAAATCTTTAAAGAACTTGATTGTCAAGCATTAAATGTGCCATTATAACCGGTTGCAAAGTTATAGCCAGCTTTGCATCCATTTTCAACGCATGCCAAACTTGAATTTTTCTCTCATAGAGACGGCTATAACTTTTAGAGCTGGTTTTCTGCATTTTTTTTCACTAAAGCCAGCTGTAGAATTGTAGAGTTGGCTCTCTGTATCAATTTTAGCATTTTTGGTCCATTTGTAGTGTAATTCAAGTTCAATTACTTTTACGGTTTTACAAGCTTTTAAGTGATAAACTACACACTTGAATGAATAAATTAATCATTCAAATATGTTTTATAATCATCAAAATCATAGGTACAACATCATATAATTTAGGTGATTTTACCTTCCTCAACTAGAAAAATAAAAACAAAAAAGAAAATAAGGTGAGAGAATTATTGCACATAGGCATTACATATCTTAATTAGTCAAAGAGATGATAAAGTTATTTATACTTTTAATTATAAGTATAAAATTAAAATTTTAATCATTACGTACCAAAAAAATATAGAAAACTTGATTTGGTTGTGCAACACTATGTTGTAGCATTAAGTTATTATTATTATTATTATTATTTAAAAATAGATAAAATATTAATTAAAATTAGTAAAAATATATAAAAAAATTAATTAAGATTAATTAAGAATTGTAAATTTATATTTTAAAATAGGATGATGTAAAAAAATCTGTTAAAAACTCCTATAATGAAGCCTAAATAGCTATGAGATCAATTTGGCTTAGAATTGGCTTGATCAAACCTGAGATCATGATTGGTCAACAATCTTAGGGCTAGCTGACTAAAGACCGGTCTAGAATGGAGTTTGAGTGTGACCATGTCAATCACAGGCCTACTTTTGTTAGTTTTTTTATCAGCATTTTTGTGAACTTATTAAATTGATAAAAAGAATTAAAAAAGAAAGGTAATTCTGATAATGCAACCTTGAGCATACTCTTACTTTAATTATTTTATAAGCAGGAAAGACAAGACAAAGTCAAAGTAAAAGCACTTAAGATTTTATATAATTATACCAAATCCACAGTACATTACAAGACCATTATATTTTTCTACAATAACAGCTTGAATTTCCATGTCAATTATTGAATCCTTCACCACTAAGTTTGGTTTTGAAAACAAGTCATGGCTGGCCAAGCAGTGAAGGTCTATAGAATGCATGGCTCTGTGCAATCTCAATCCGTTCCCGGGGATCATTCAAGGTTTCATCCCTTAGTGCTTGAAGGATAGCTTGAGATGACTCCTCCCTGGAGATTCCAAAGAAACAAGCATTAATTAGTTGTCTGCACTGTAAAACTATGTATACTAACACATTGGGAGATCTTGTGACAGTTTGAGGCATTTAGGACATGTTTGATTAGCGGTCAGCAGCTTCAGCTTCAACCGGAAACTGCTACGCAGAGACACCCTTAGCAGAGATGAAAATTTCTTGAATTATTTCGGCTTGAATGAAAAATAAGCACAATGAGCCAGTTAGATGCAGGTGATAGGCAAAAATGCTTTCCCTGTGTCTTATGTCAAGTGTGCCAGTTTTAAATGTCTAATGCCTACATAGATGAATACTTGACAGAAGTACTGAGAGATTACCTTGAAATAAGTATTTTGTAGAGAGTTTTTAAGATGGGGCAGAGCTCAACAGGAGCTACCGGCTTCTTTTCTCCAGGATGCAAGACACTCAAGCTAGGTTGACTTAGAAGTTCATAGAATGCTCCCACAGCAGAGACACCCTATAAAAAGGAAAATGCGGACTCAAGCTTCATTCCCTGGTGAAGGGGAATTCAAGCTGCTAGATATGCAAAATCATAGATGAAAAGCAAGGGAATTGCAATATTCTACAAACATAAGATGAAACATTCAATGCAACTACAAACTAAAGAGCTGAGATAACCAACAGCACCTGAATCATTCCTTTGCCACTGATGCTATCACCCATATCCCGGCTTAATTCACCCTTGGCTAACATTTGGCCATACCATGCATTACGACCTTTTAACAATGTCACATAAGTATCAGCAAGCAAAGGACCTGCAAGTTTCTCAGGTTCCTCCGCCAATAAATGAGTAATAAAAATCATCTCTGAAGTACAATGTGCAAAATATACTGATTTACTGGTAGCACTCTCATTGGTAAGGGCTGCTACCATTCCTGTGAAAATAAATTGAAAGTAATTATGTAGTTTAAAATCAAATCCTAGTCTTGGTACAATGCACTTTATAGTCAGATGTTGCAAACTTATTTTCAAAATGGCTTTCTTTCAGCACATGAAGAACATTGTATTTTTAATCTATCTTTAGCAATAATGAAAAGTTGATATCAAGAAATATAATGCATTGGCTTTTAGATTCACCATCATCAAGAAAGAACCATGAAAATTGAGCCAACACAAGCAAACTATGTATAGATAATCTCAAAGCAACTTACCTGCAACAATCAAGAAACTATAGTTCCCCAAGGCTACCCCAAAGAGATGGAAAGATGGACAGATATCCAGGTTCAAGTAAACAATATGCCTAGATATTAGTCAAGCTTCCAACATAAATAATGTTCTTCTGCATACTTTAAAAAATGAATAATAGTTTCCATAAGTCAACGGGGTTAAGATAAGCAGTTTTCTGCAGCAGCGATTAAGGTGCTATATCAAGAAGTGGTTTGAGTCCTGCATTCTATGGGCAAGACCTTAAGACTTTCCTTTACATGGACCAATGATCAATCAGGTGAATGAAACAGGGCTAGGGAGCTGACAGGGCTGTGGATATTTATTTTTATATTTTCATTAAGGAGGAAGTGGGATTGGGATAAGGTTGTTGGGGAAGTGAATCACAATCACCAAAGTGTAACTGCTGCAACTACTGGTGAAAAAGAAATAGGATTTGTTTGGCAGAATGGTTAAGTGTTCGCTGTCTGTTACTAGTGGAGTTGGGCAGTATTTAGATAACACAAAAATTTCAAGACTACATACAGAATGATGGAAATTTATCAACTTAAAATGACAGTTTTAAACCTACGGAGAAGCATTCTTTTAAAAGCAAAAAAGTGGATTTAACACCACATTATCTGTCTATGGTGGGTTTCTCTCTTCAGCAAAGAGATCTTTGTATCCCATCACATCAAATTTCCTGAAAATTAAATATTGGAACTAAGACAAAACTTCGTGCCTTCCATAAAACATAAAAGAATTTATGTTTTTGTAGAACTTATTATTTTCAATATGAATTCATTATTCACCAACCAAAAAGACTGTGAAACTTACCAGCTCCAATGGCATAGACATTCTTCAGACCACCCATGACTTCATGAGTGACAAGGTCACTGTTATCCCAAACTATGAAATGGGGTTGCCTTAAAAATTTTGCAAGTGGTTTCCTCCACTTTTCAGCTCCACATATTCGAGCATTAGCATATTCTTTGTTATAGATCTCAGAAGCAATATTTGGTCCCCCGAGATATAGGATGTTCTCTATAGGCACTCCAGCTGCAAGATATGAATATGGAAGGTTATAAAAATATAGCAAAAGAATTCACTTTAGTGAAAAAATGAAAGACAGTTGCACCTAACAGAATTCACTTAGACTAATGAGTTTCTTTCACACATTATTTAAGCAATTCCTTATCCACCTCCTATCCGCGC